CATAATTACCCTCAAAGAACATTCTTATTTTAAAGCTTACTTGGGGAGGCCACGTTGACTTTATAAAATGTATTTATTTTTTGAAAATATTGTTTAAATATCATTCTGTGAAATGGATCAGATTAAACCAGATTAAACGAAGAATGTAACAACCACGACATGAAGATCAACATCGACAAAACAGAGACAACGAAAGTCAGCAGCTAGAAAGCCAGAACCACTCAGGATAAGGAATCGACGGCTGGGCGCAAGCAGTGACTAGATCTAGATCTATATCCACTTTTTACAGTTTTGAGAAAAACGAGTTTGAAATTTTGACGGTATTGAAATCTCTATAACATTGTCAAAAAAGAAGCGCTCATAGCTCGATTCCGAATGAAGCTATGGCTTAGATATTTACAAACGTAAAAGAGCAGCGTAGTTTTAGTTATAGTGAGAGTTTTACAGCACTTGCAACACAGTAAGGTCATATAAGTGCCGAAGATTAGAGGTGTTACAAGAGAGTAACAAACACAGAAAAGAAGTAGGCGAGATCAGGATGAAGGATGTTTGATAGGAAAGAAGGAGGAAACCACACCAGAGCACCCGCCAACCACCCGCCAAGAGCAGCTTAAAGTCTCACTACCAACATGGATTACTCCATTTCGGCCAAATGTGGATGGCTCAGCCATCGAGATGCATAGTGTGTGTGTGTGTGTGTGTGTGTGTGTGTGTGTGTGTGTGTGTGTGTGTGAATGGCTTGTAAGAAAAGGGATCATGGATAATGCAGTCGTTTGAAGTTTCAGTTAGACAGACAGACAGACGGACGGACGTGGGTGGTTGGCGGATGCTCTGGTGTGGCTTGCTTCTTCTTTCCTATCAGACATCTATCGTCCTTATCTCCCCTTCTTCTTGTTTGTGTTTGTTACTCTCTTGTAACACCTCTAATCTTCTGGCGCTCATATTATGACCTTATGCAGTTGTGAGCGCCGTAAAACATCTACTAAAAAAAAGACAAGACAGACGGACGGACGGACTGATAGAGAGACAGGCAATGGTGAGAAAAATTAATTGTCTTGCACTTTGGCGTCGGTATCCTTGTGGTTGCGCTTTCAGACTTGCAGCCTTAAGGTTCGAATCTCGTCAAGGGCCCTACGATATAAAGCTCAAATTTTTCTCACTTCACTCAGGTGGGAGTGGGTACCCGGTTAGAGAAAGCGAAAGATCATGTCAATTTGTTAGTGTTTGAGCGCTGTGTAATGTAATGTAGAGTGGTCCTATGTCTCTCCTCTTTCTCTCTTTTGCTCTTTCTCTCTATCTGTTTCTCTCTCCCTCCCTCACACGAACACACACACGAACACATACACACACACGCACTCACACTCACGCACAAACAACCTCTCTCTCTGTCTCTCTCTCTCTTTCTCTCTCTCTCTCTCTCTCTCTCTCT